CTTAAAGTTTTGTACAAATGTCACTATTTTGGTCATTATACAGACGAACCGTTCGGTCTCAAGTACAAGTTGAAAATTGGCAATTTGTACCAGTGCGACTGCAAAACCCACTTTTTAGATTTGTATTGAAAGGTTTTCAGTTAATTTTCCCTAGTATTTAAGTTAATTAAAATAAAGACCGAGTCACACGGATAATTCACGTTTTGACTCAAATATTATAGCTAGATTGCAAAAAATCAAAATAACTTAGTTAAAAAGCAGTTAAAGCCGCTTTGCATTCCAAACGGCAACAATGTGCTAAATTGTTGTAGACGTTGTAATATATGTGTACGTGTAGCGCACACTAGCGCACTATAAAAAGCTGTGGAAGATGCTGATATCCTAATTATCACAACAGCTCTTGAGATGGCTCCGTCAAATGAACATGTGATAGTGGGGGGGGGGAAGATATCGACCTACTGGTCATTTTGATTGGCCTTTGAAGCTCATATAAAAAACGTATTTTTTTTTAAGCCAGGAAAAGGAAAGGTTTCGCAAAGCCTCTACAACCCTCATCTAGCTGTTGAGAAAATCCTATTGGATCATATTTTATTCCTGCATGCGATGAGTGGTTGTGATACTACTTCTGCATTATTTAATCAAGGGAAACTGAAATTTCTTAAAGTCCTGCAGGAGAACAAAGATTTGCAATCGGTAATTGAAGCTTTCAAAGACCCTAATTCAAGTCATGATGAGATTGGCACAGCAGAAAACATGTTTCTCACGGCTCTATATGGAAAAAAAGATATAAACAAAAAGATATAAACAAAACTAAACGATTTAAGATATAAACAATACGTATCTTCATCATTCAAAAATAAGACCAACATTTTCTCATTGTCCCCAACTGAAACTGCTGTACGAGAACATTCACTGAGAGTTTACTATCAGGTGCAGCAGTGGTTATCCGGTCAAGCCACACCTAACGAGCAAAAAAAAGACCCAAGTGAGTGGGGATGGCAAAAAACTATTAGTGGTCTTGTGCCAGTACCAACTACTTTGGAACCAGCACCAAACTCAATACTCCGGTACATTTCATGTAAATGTAAAAAGGGCTGTCAACGCAATTGTGGATGTAGGAAGGCGGGACTCCATTGTTCCCCAATATGCGCATCATGCGAAGGACTATGTAACAATGATGAGCCCCCAGAAGACAGCTCTGACATAGACGTAGAAGAAACTGAAAAAAGAGGAAGAGGTATGTTGGATCTGACAAGTTATTTTGTAGTCATTCATCTCTCCTTGATATGTGTCTCTCCTCTTTTTCTGTGTCGGAGAACGACTCCCGACGCGGACGATGGAGCAATCAGACCCTGAGCCAGGACCCGATGCCGTCGAAGAACATCACTACGATGCGGAAGGTATGTTTAATCTCACAATCTATTTTGCAATCTTCATCTCTTCTTGATAAATGACTTAACTTTAAACTTTTATTTTCCAGAACAAGCAGAACCAGGACTCATCGTTATCGAAGAACCTCATCCAGGGCCTTCCAAAAGACAACGGCATATATAAATTTTGCATATTATAATTTATAATCATATTAGTATATGATCATAAGTAACAAGATTTTAAGTTTTATTTTGTTACGAGTTCTACCTACCTACTGAATTTGCATAATTTTTCCCTTTTTTCTTTTTAATTACTTGTGTGGAAAACTAGGTGACATTTATCAAATGGCAGCATCCATAAAAATTAAATATTGAAATGTAAAAAGTGGGTTTTGCATAAAATGCTAAAAATTTACAATTTTCAACTCGCACTAGAAACCGAACGATTCGTCTGAAAAAAAAACTAAATACTGGTATTTGTAGAAAATTTCAAGTACTTTAATTTCTGTAAACAGACCATTTACCAAAAGTTGATAGTTTTTGAGTTTTAAGCAAAAAAACCGAAAAAAGAAGAAGAAAAACTGTTTATTCTGTTTTTTTTTTAATGTTGCGTCACGAAATTTTGTCCGCAAACCCCAGATTCGGATTAAGCACCCCAAAAAAACATATGGAATGAAAAAATTAGAACTACCCCAAAACTTTCCTAGCAAAAATACAATTTAACTGAACTATTTATGTGTAAGTACAACTATTATCAACTACCTGTAAGTACTAAAGTAATCAACTTTTTCTATGCAGATCTTTGTTATAAATCTTATATAAGTAAATACCAAGTAAAACGACGCATTAACATAACATTAAAATCATGTCACAGGCATTGCACAAGATAAATCTAAGCGCAAGACGATTGTGAATTTCACTGTACAATCCTTGTCTTCCAAAATTGCAAAACACCTCAAACGATCTTGAAAAACATGTTCTTATAGAAAACAGCCAATTATTCGGCATTCTTTCAAATTCAACATAACTCCACTTATGTGGAAATCGTTCTGAATTTTATCTCTAATTTTATTTTTCTAAAATGCCTTGAGCAGAATATAATAAGCTCATCACAATTCAGTCTTTTTTATTTACTTTAAGTCAAATAAAAATATATCGTTTTGAAACGAAACTTGAATTAAATGGGACTGAAACGTGGGCAGATTTTATATAACTGTCTAACAGTTAATAAAATCAGATGAAAGCCAATAAACAAATTCACGAAAATATTTTAATCATCCTCTAATTAAAAAAGCAAATAAAATGGAATAACGGTCATAAAAATTCTGAACATGTGTAGGTATTCGGTTTGGGGATATAAAAGGGTTTAGAATTTTTAATTATAAATTGTTTTTCAAGTTTAAAACACAATTTTCGATGTATTAGATGAATAAATTGAAAGATTTTTTAAAAATTTTCGCTCTATTTAATTATACCATGAAATAAAAATAAAAAGGATGTATTAAAACATATTTTTTGGAATTGGTATATTAAATATACCAATGTTAAATATAGAAATAAGGTGTATAAGGAATTCTGATAATGGTAAGTTGATATCATCTACTTACCATTCATCTACCTCAACTGGATTACATTCACCATCATTAGATACTAAAACAGATGAAGATTATGAGGACGCTGACGTGCACAATTTGTATTTGTTTGATAGTTCAGATATTTATGAACTATCTCATGAGTCGTGATCTGGTGATAAGTTAGTTGAGAATCCTTCCAATACTCGCATAAAAAAAGGCAAAGGAAGAAATGCATTGACAAACGTAGAGAAAACAAGGAAGAGAAAAAGAAATCCAAGTGGTTGGCATCGTAATAAGCGCCGGGATGCAAGAAACAAGGGAAACCTTTATTTTTCAACGTCAAATAAGTTTGTTCCTGGAAAATTTTTAAAACCTGCTTGCTCATATAAACAGAAATTTTATGCACTAGACGTAAATTCTCAAAATTAGTTTATTACTCAGAATTATAATGAAGTTGAAAAACTTCGACACAATAGACACCCAAGCAAAAGACAGTTTACAATTTTTTATTTTCTAAATAATAAGGGACAAAAAGTTAAAGTTTGCCGTACTATGTTGTTAAATACTCTCGATAAAACCAGAAAAAATAAAAGTATTACCAAGAAGAGAAGAGACTGTACAACTGGTATCTGGTTGTCTGAAAACCAAAGAGGAAGTCATGGGCGCCAACAGAAAGTCACTGACGAAGCAGTTACTACAATAGAAGACCATTCTACGAAGTTTTCCTTCGTATGTAAGCCATTATTCAAGATCGCATACTGAAAAAAAAATTTTTTTTTAAGATTTAAATATTTTGAAAATATATCGGCTATACAAAGATCATTGTAGTTTCCACAATGTAACATCTGAACTAGAGTCATTTTATAGAAAAATTTAACTTGTCATTTCACCCTTCTTCTAATGATACTTGTGGAAAGTGCGATCGGTATAATTCATTCATTGATACAACTTCTGATTTGCAAGAACAAGCAGTTCATAAAGATGATTATAGCCAGCATCTTGCCATGGCACATCGAGCATATAAGGAGAAAAAAAAAATGATAAATTCCGAAGCTGTATTCTGAAAGTGTTGCATTTTAGTCATTTAGCTAGACTTATGCTTCAAAACAATAATTCATTTTATAAAAGATCATAATGGACTTTAACCTCACTATCTACATCACCACCATCACCAATGGCGCTACAACTCTTTGTGAGTCTTTGCCGCGTTTACTATTGTCTTCCATGTTTGTCGGTCCTGTGCCAGTAATTCCCATTGTCGCACACCCATTTTCTCTAGTTCTTCTTTGACTGCATCTTTCCACCTTTTTCTAGGTCGCCCTACAGACCTTCTTCCATCTGGCCTTTCCCAGAACACATTGTTTATAAGGCGATTGTCGTTACTGCTTATCACATGTCCTGCCCATCTGAGTCTATTGATCTTTATATATCTGACTAGATTTTATTTTCCAAATAGAGACTCTAGCTCGTTATTGTATCTGACCCTCCATTCGTTTGTCACGCTATCTCTGTAAGGGTCATATATCATTGGAAGAATTTTACGTACCCACACCAGCAATTTATTTATTTCTCTTTTTGTTAGTGTCCATGTTTCGCTTCCATACGCGACTGCTGGTCGTATTATGGTCTTATATATCTGGATTTTTATACCTCGTGAAAGATGTTTTGACTTCATTAGATGTTGCATTGCAAAGAAATATCTGTTTCCTGTCATTATTCTCGTTTCAACTTCTGGCTCTAATTTGTTGTCTTTTGTGATTGTTGCTCCTAGATATTTAAATTCTTTAACCACTTTGAAGTCGTGATCATTTATAGTAATGTTATGTATCAAGTCATTTATAGTAAGCTGTGGCTTGTTTTATTTCGAAGAACTAAAGAACAAAACTAAATAACATTACAAAATGACAGCATATTGACGCAATACTACTTAGTTTATAATCTAATACCGAACTTGTTTAATCTCTGATATAGTATATCGATATCTGGCAGAATTATCCAACTCAGTTTGTCAAACTACATTATGTCACTTATATTAATAAGGAAATATCTATTTCAGAACATCGACAGGACTACCGACATATGTATTCGCCCCTTAAACTCAGCTCAAAGTCGATGAAACGCCGCATTTCCCAGCCAACGTCTCCGGCCGTATCCGACCTAGGAACCCCTAGGGGCTCCATTACCGAATCACCCACTTTGGAATTTAAACAACCCAATACAGCCAATAATACAGGTAAGAAAGTTGAATTTATATTCAAACGTATCACGATATATGTTTGTAGTTCATAAAGCTGTATGAATTTTATTTTATGTCCGTAAAACGTTCAATAAACGATATATACAAATCAATATACAGGGTATTTCTCTGTATATTGATGTGAAACACCCTGTATATGTACATATACAATTAAAACAAAAAGTTTTGCTCAAATCTAATAATTTTGAAAACTTTTAGGATCATAATTGATTAATTTTTAAAACAACTATGTTTCCAAATTTTATCTATTTGTTTTTGTGTTCCAGAGCCTAAACAAATTGGTTGGGTTGCACCATATCAGAAGGGTGATCTGGATACACCAAAAAGTTCCATCACAGATTCACCAACTGCCCCGATAGCAGAGCCTGAGAAGTTTGGTAAGTAATAAACATTGTCCTTATTATATATTATCAGTAGTAATATCCCTAGGACATTGATAACAGACGAAATAATTTCATGACAATCGAAAGCTCGTTCCTTGGTAACAGCACGAAGCCGAGGGCTGAGTGCTGTTACCAAGCAACGAGCTTGAGAAATTTGTCATGCAATTATGAGGCATTCATCAATGTCCGGCGGATAATTTTTCGAAAAAAAAATCATAACTCAACATAACGAAACATTTATTTATTAAAAGTACAGTTAGTGAAAGTACAATTATTAAAATTTAAGTTAACATTAGATTCGTTGCTGTTCTCTACTATAGAAGATCTATTACCACGCATAATATTTATAATCTTGTTGTGGTGTTCTTGATCGAGATTCAAGTATGGTTTTATAGAATTATGATTGCCATGACCAGTAATTTTTAGGATTAACATTCTCATTGCCGAAACATGACATTTTGAAATTTATTTGGATGAAGTTGTCAAACTCGATCGTGTTGTCATAGGGATTGAAAATTGCACTGAATGCAATTATCAGTCTAATGTTGATATGATTGGGTGAAATTGTTCCACATGACACAAAATGACGAAATTTGAATGGTTGTTAGAACAGTCGAAAAATTATCAGGATAAGCGTTAAAATCGGTAATTTTTGTTTTTAGTTAAGCTGAAAAAGTATAAAAGTCTCAAAAAAGTGTGATTTTTTGACGCAAGGGATTTAAATAACTAAAAAAGTCTAAAAACTCCAATAAAAGGCATGTCGGAAATGATTATCTAAAAACCTAACAAAAACACGAAATTATCTTTTGCAGAAATCATAACAAACCTAAGCAAAGATCCCAATAATAGCAATAATGCAGTCTTCAGGTTTTATGTTCTGTATTACTTCTTTATTCTTTTCTTTTCTCAATTTTTTTATCAGTTTCCAGCTTTCTGTGCTTCTAGTTCCTCCTAGATAAGTATTTATTCGTTGGCAGTTTCTTTCTCTCTCTGGTTCTTCTTAGAGCTTTTCCTTCGTACTTCTGCTTGTTTTTCTTTAGATTTTGTTTTGTCTTGTAATGATTTGGAGCTTCAATATTTTTGGTACAGTTGTCTTTTACATTTTATTTCTTCCTCTAGTTCGTTATCTCACTAGTATGGTTTGTTCAACTTGGGTTTTATGTAGTATTCCATTACTTCAAATGCTGCTTCGTGTAAACAGTTTTTTATACAGATTGAACGAATTTAAAACGGATCATACAATTTAATATATGTCTGTTTGAACTGCATTTGAAATAAATCCATACCCGGTGTTAGACATTGTATAAAATATCGTTCAACTATCCGTCTTCTTTTAGAACGCACCATAGTCTAGAGCGCAGCTCAAAGTCAATGTTGCCAATCGCCGTGTAATAATCCGATTTGCGGATCTTTTTGAGAGTTATATCTTCTTCGTATATTTAAATAAATCGGATATTTGCCTATATTTTTCATTGTATTTACCAATCTACTACAACAGACTAATAACAAAAATAAACTTAATGGTTTGTAGTTATTTCAGAAGTTTGTAGTTATTTTAGAAACATCTAGTGGAATGATATTGGCAACACCGCTCAAAATCTCCATCTCTGATAAACGAAAGAGGGGCTTGCCTAAAGGCGGCCACTCACGATACAGCAGCGTTGTTCAATTTGGTTCAACTACACACTTGCTTTGATCATATTATAGAAAATCGAAATGGCTTGATTTAGCAAGAATATTTTAAGAGAGTTTTTTAAATTATATAAAAAACAAGAATGCTTATAGCGAATAAAAGGTAAAACGTATCACGATAGAAACGCCCGAAAACAGGCAATGGACATTCTAGTTTTAAAGTTCCAAAAAGTAAACAAAGATGCGAATGAAGAGTATGTAAGAAAAAAAAATTAACAATTTTAGAACATCCTATAAAAGAGAATTAAAATTAGCAGTGCAGTCCAGTAAATCGGGTGCAGGGGCAGACGAGATTTATTTTGCACCAGAATCTACGTTTTATTTTAGGTTTCTTTTTACGCTTAGTTATACACAAAGTAAGAGACGCTAAAATGATTGTTTGATTTGACATGATCGAGAACCGAACAAATACTGCGGCGCAGTATAGTGTGTGGGCGCTCCAGATATACCAACAAATTGAACAACGCCTCTGTCCGATTATGCCGAACGACACCGCTGTACCGTGAGTAGCCGGCTTTAGGAAGCGATAGGTGGTTTGACCAGCTATGAATGAGTTCTTGAATTAGTTCAGAATCCAGCAGCCCGCGGAAGTATTGGATTTTTATAATATAATTATTTGACAACCTTTTGTTGGCCAACCACCTACAGCAGAATTGAGCCGAAATACATAATATTTCGTATGTTCCGAATTTATTTCGTTCAATCTGTATGTTCATATAACTGATCGATATTCTTAGGGTCGGGAATTTGTAGCTTCTCATGCAATCTATTTTTTAATAAGTCTTCGGTACTTTCTTCATCTAGGTTTCTCTTGTTGTATCTTCGTTCCTGTATCTTTTCTGTCTTGTTTATGTCTATATATGTTTCTCTCTGTTGTCTTCGGATTGGAAAGTGTATTTTTGAACGTAATAAATAGTAATCGCTACCGCATGTTGCGCTTCTCTGAACTCTTACATTTTGTATCTAAGTCTAGTTTTTTGTTTTGTTATAATATAATCGATTATTGATTTTATGTTTCGTATTTCCTGGATCCATATATAGCTGCGTATCAGTTTATGTGTCCATTTAAGATTCTGAGTTGATTCTGGTTGCATAAATAAAAGCGACAAACTAAATTAATTTTAAACCATATAAACAAAAGAGACACAAATGTATAAATAAAATACCTAATTTTTTGAAAAATTCAACGCGTTTGTTGCTCTAAGACCTTATAATGATTATTTCCAAAAAGGCAAAACCTCAGCGATTCACTTAAAACCCAACCTTCACCACTGAATACTAAAACGCCGAAATTTCACTCGAATCCATTAGATAAAGTTGGAATTAATTTTCACCAGACTGGTCTATTCATTTAAATTTCTAAAAGGGCTTCATATTCATCACAAGAAGCTGTCTGCTTGTAGAAAATAGGTAACGCTCTAGCGAATTGTGTTCCATGCTAAAAATATTATTTCCTCCAGGGAACAATACAATTTCGCGAATTTAATAGTCAGTTCTAATCGATTTTCAGTTGGTAATGGAAGTTTAATTTAAGTTTGAGTTTATTCTTGCCGGATTTTGATATTCAAAAATTCCGACCAATAAACTTATTGGTGGAAAATATTTTAAACTTCAAAATAAAGTCTTACGACTTTAAAAGAAATACTTTTCTTTCTACACCATCTAAAGCGGTGTTAAAAAGTCCTGCACCATTTACTATCTACATGAAACAAGCACTTAAACACAATATTATAAAACGCAGCAAAAATTTTGATTAATAAAAAAAATGTAGTTCGGACCTTGTTTTATTCAATATTTACATCAAGACGATATTGTACATCACATTGAAGTAATGTAAACTAATTTTAATATTTAATTGACCAGCCCTTGTTTTTAATTACTAGTTTACATCTATTGGGCATGGAATCTTCATGGAAATACAGAGATGCCAAGCGTGGATTAGAGATTCGATTAATTTAATTTTATTTGTGGGTTTGCTTTTGGAAATGATGTTTAATATCCTTTGCCACAAATTCTCGATGGGATTGAGGTCAGGGGATTGCGCTGGCTAGTCCATCCTATCAATTTCATTACTCTCCATCCAAGCTTTAACCAATTTTGCTCTTTGGCAGAGACAACGTGTAGGCGACCAGCTCCTCGAGCGAACATGCAACCCCATATCATAACTGAGGTTGGATGTTTAATTGTGGGAAGAGCCCATTTTGGAGAAAATTCTTTACCAGGAAATCTTCTGACGTAGTCATTTCCAGCATGATTATTAATATTGAAAGTGGATTCATCTGTACACTCTGCCACTGCTTTGCTGTCGAGATTCGATGTTCCTTGGGCCATTTCAAACGGTACAATCTTTGCTTTTATGAAAGCAGTGGTTTCTTCCGTGCCTTACATCCTCTAAGTCCAAAACTAAGCAGTATTTTTCTCACAGTGGAAGTGCACACGCTTACACCTGTAGATTCAGACTACAGCTTCGTCAATTGGGTGGAATTAAGGCTTCTGTCTGCCAAACTTCTTCTTCTTAACGCAGCGTCATCCCGAACAGACGTTTTCTTTGGTCGGCCACTACGCGGTCTGTCGTCGATTTTTGCTTGTTCAGCATACTTCTTTATGACTAATTACGGTAGATTGATTACAGTTTGCTGCGGATGCTATTTCGCGACTAGATTTGTCGTTTTTATGATGAAAAATAATTTTAAAATGCTTTTCGTCCGATAATTTAGTTTGTTTGGTCTGGGATGATATTTTAAACCCTTTTTTTTTAAATCAAAGAGCGAATAAATGTGTTAGGGTAACTAGTCAAAATATGTGGCAAATTTGTCATTAAGATTCAATTTAATAGTACTTTAACGACTTAATAATCATTTCCTAATTTTCTCGGAATATAAAAAATCCCTTCAATCAGATTATTTAATCTTTTCTATAGAATTTTGAGCTAGTAATTAAAAAAACATTACTTTAAGCACAAACTTAAAATGAAGTAACGAAAATATACAAAACACTTGTCTTAAGTCTCAAAAACTATAAGGCGCTTAGGTGATGCAGGACTTTTTAACACCACTGTATAAGTAATCGCATAATTTTCACGTTAGACGAGACAATGAAGCACTAAAAAGCGCTAAAAGCAAATGCATTTCCAAAGTGAAAATGAAGTTCACAATGAAAAATTTGCAACTCGGAACATATCGACATGAATTATAGTTTATTCGTCTTCCGGGTTTGGACCGTGTCATTTGTGAGTGACTTAAAAGTGGGTTCATCTCGACGTTTCGCTACAATTGTATGTAGCTTTTTCAGGAGAACAAAGAAAAAGAAATCAAAAGACAGGAAGATGGGTAGTTAGCAACGGTAACTCAGTTACTCAACGCAACCAGAGGCGAATACTAACTACCAAGATGAGCATTTGGTCACAGTAACTCAACTACTTAACGCAGCCAGAGGTGAAAACAAAATGCCAGGACAGGGATTCACGTCCAACAGCTCAGAACACTAACGCGTCGAGAGGCGGGGAGTGAATCCTCCCTTTATATATATATGGCCCTATATTCTATGGCTTTTATTTTTTTTCTTTTTTCGCTAATAGCCGTACAGGTTGATGCGAGTTTGTAAATAAAAAAATTAAAATTAAATGCCATTTTTTAAATCAGTTTTTATTATAAAACAGGTAATTTTATTATATACTTTTTTTATATTACAGGTAATGGTAGTTTACTACAAAAAGGGTCGGACTCAGAATCAGAATGCGTTTTATCCGATCCCTGTAGCTACCTTAGCCCAGAACACGATGAGGAAGAAGAATTACCCGAGAAGAAAGTATCGTTTTTGCACACCGAAAACGATGACTTTGACGTGGACGGGCTCAAAGAAAAAAAGAAACGGTAAGTTCCTTTAGGCCAGGGGTGGCCAACCTTTTTAAGTCGAGTGCTAATATGAGAACAAAAAAAATTTGGCGTGCCACTAAAATTTTTCGACATACTAATATGGATACTATATATAATAATATACGGTACAATACGTATTTCTTATGTAAATTCCACATTTTTCCGTTTAGTCAAGATATTGGAGGTTTAAAAAATAACGTAATAAGTAAAATATAACAACAAACTTACTTTATTGTTAATAAAAATAAAATAAAAACGTTAAACAAAAAAACTTAAATATTTTCTTATTATCTATAATTCAAATTATTAAACAGTTACTTATTTAATGTGGTATTTGAACTTGTATTTTTTTAATTAATTCAGCTATATTGGGATTAATTTCGGAACTAGCCAACAGAATTAGATTTTTTAAATGCATGTCAGTTAATCGTGACCGATATTTTGATTTTATTATGTTCATAATAGAGAACATTTGCTCACAAACGTACGTTGAACCAAATCTACAACAATATCTCAGAGCTAACTCGTGTAAATTAGGAAAATTGTTTGCTGGTACAAATTTCCAAAATTCAATATAATTGGGATCAGTAACAGTTGAAATAATTTCCCTATATTTGGTTTTTAGTATAGTGTGGTTCTGTAAATCAATAATTTCGATCTGTATTTCAGCTGAGTAACAATTGATATCTTGCAGAGAAATAGAAAAAGGATTTATGAAAAGGTCAACATTCATTTTGTTTTTTTGAAAATCTTCAAACCGGGTGTTGAATGAACCTAGCAAAATAGATATAAGGTTTTTAAATCTGTCATAATTTGGAGTTTTACTGACCTTGTTGGCTAATTCCTGCATTAATGTGAAATGTGTCAATCTCTGCTCTCCAAAATCGTTACAAAAAAGCATAAGTTTATTCACAAAAGAAGATATATGACCAACTAGAGTAGGAAAAACACAATTTTTTCCCTGTAATCTTAAATTTAATAGATTTAAATGTCTCATAATATCAGTGAGAAAAGCTAAATCCCAAAGCCAATCTTTAGCATTAAGTAGGGTAGTTCATTGTTTTCTTGCAAATATTTTAAGACGCACTCCTTCAAGTTCCAAAACCTTTCGAGTGCATTTCCTTTGGAGAGCCAGCGCACACTGCAATGGAGAAGTAACTCTCCATCTTGCTCCGTTTCTTCCGCGAACAGTTCTCGAAATTGTCGTCGATTCAATGCCCGAGCTCGTATTTTGTTAATGCAGCGTGCTACAGGGTCAACAACAGATGACATGTTTAGGTCCTTGGCACAAAGAGCTTCCTGGTGAATAATACAATGGTACTTAAAATCTTTTCTTCCCAAATAGTTTTCCAGTAATGTAACAAACCCCTTTAGTCTACCAACCAAGCAAGGAGCTCCATCTGTACAAACACTATCTAATTTTGACCATTCAACTTTGTTGACTTCGATTACGTTTTTAAGCTGTTGAAAAATGTCCTCTCCTGTTGTTGTGACTAGTTGGCGCAAATCCAGAAGCTCTTCGGAATTTTCAAAATTATCATTGGTATAACGGACAAAAATGCTTAACTGCGCATTTTCTGTGTTGTCACAACTTTCATCCAACGCTAAAGAAAAGAATTTGCAGGATTGTAATCCACTTATAATTTGGGAAACAACATCCTGGCCCATATCATCTATACGGCGCATGACTGTATTTCGGGATAATACAATATTATCGACCATATTTTTGATCTTTACATCTCCCACATTTTTAGCAAATATTGCCAGACTATTTTTAATTATCTCCTCTCCATCAGAGTAGGCTTTTTTCTTCCAGGCTAACAGCAGAGAAAGTTCATATGATGTTTTAACCATAGTTTCCATTTCATCACTTCTCTTCTGAAACAGTGACTGTTGGCTGGCTAGGGTTTTCTTTTTTTTTTCAATAAAGTCGGCTCGCAAATGTGAACCAATAGGATATTTGTTGCTGAAGTCCTTATGCAGTTGTTTATAATGTCGTTCCAGGTTAAATTTTTTCGGAACTGCTACAGACAATCCACATATCAAACAAACAGGCTTTGAAGTATTACGATTAGTAAATAAAAATTGTTCTTCCCAAGCAGGTTGAAAATCGCGAATTGCAATATCATCTTCGTATTTTCGTTTTGAAGTCGAAGGCTTACTGGTGGACATATCGAACAAATATTTTTAAAATTTTAAAGAAACAATGCGCGATGACAAAATGTGCACATACAACGGGGCAGTTTAAAATAAACTAAGCAAGGGTAACGCAGTCCTATTGCACATTACGACAGCTAGGATCACGTGCACTTATCGTTCCATCGTTTACGTGGTCTTCCTACTTGTCGTCTTCCTATTGCGGAACTGTTTCTTGCCGTCTTTACTACTCTATGTTTGTCGTTCGGCTTATATGATCCATTCTACTCTCTATGTCTTACCTAGTCCTTGATGTTCTCCACCTTGCACCTACATTCTATATCTATATTTCTAGCTATGTCCCATAGTTTTTGCCATCAATTTTTTCAAGTGTTTTCATCTCTGCTGTTTCTAACATCCTTTTTGTGTTTTCTTTATCAGGTTGTGTTTCTGCCGCGTATGCCATTATTGGTTTGATGACTGTTTTGTAAATTCTGTCCTTCATTTTTTTCTTGATATTTTTATTTCTCCATATTGTTTCATTCAGGCAACCTGCGGCTCTGTTTGTTCTATTCACTTGACCTTTCTCTGCTGTTTCGAGCTCTTCATAGCTAGATAATGTGTTGTCTAGATATTTAAACTTCATCACTTGTTTTATTATCTGACCTTTCTGTGTTATGTTAAATTTTCTGGCGGTTATATTAAATTGGTGCAACATACGTTGTAAATCATCTTCACTTTGAGAGAGCAGTATTGCGTCGTCTGCATAGCAGATTATTTTAAGTTGTTTTTCTTCCATTTGGTATCCTTTTTTAGTTCTTACTTTTTTTACTACTTCATCTATAATCAGGTTGAACAATAGAGGACTCAGGGAATCTCCCTGTCTTATCCCATTGTCAGCTTCAATAGGTTCGGTATTTAGATTATAAATTATGAGTGGGTTAATTACTTTAATGTGAATTACTATTAAACTGGGAATAAGCCACAATTAAAGATAAAAATACGTTTATTGACGTTTCAATTTCCACTTCGGAAATCGTTCTCAAAATACAAACAGTAAATTAAACAAATTTTGTTTTTTGTTACATAGTGAAAAATTCTTCTAATAATTTAATTTTATCTGACTCATTTATATTGACAATTCAGACATACATTATGCATTTTAAAGTAGACGACTTTAAAATGATATTGCCAATATTGTTGAGTTGCGCTCCTGGGACGACTTTACTTATAAGATAGTTCATTCGATTACATGAAAACAACTTTAACTTGAGAATATCCGTCAGAAAAAATTCATAGCATGTAATTCGTCTTTAAAAAGACAAACACATGACATGATGACAGTAAAATTCTCCTGTTAGTGATTCCATAGTAAATTATGAGGGAAAACCAGGAAAAAAACCTCATAATACTATCCCGACATTGTAAGTATTTGTTCGTGAATTTAGTTTACCTTCAACAAACATCAAAATTCTGATTTTATATGTTACGTTATTTAAAAAACATAAATGATGTATCCTCTATATGTTACTGACTTACTAATACTGAATGAACATAGGGTTCAATGGAATAATTCAAATGTAGTCCTAAAAGAAACGGATGGTAAAAAAAGAAAAATCAAAGAAGCGGCTCTAATTATGCTAAATGAGGCCAATTGTGTCGCAAATTCCTCGGCAGAATGTAGTAGGATCTGGTTACCAATATTGAAAGAGGAAGTTATTAATAAGAAAATACCAGTATTAGTAAGTCGGTAACATATAGAGGATACATCATTTATGTTTTTTAAATAACGTAACATATAAAATCAGAATTTTGATGTTTGTTGAAGGTAAACTAAATTCACGAACAAATACTTACAATGTCGGGATAGTATTATGAGGTTTTTTTCCTGGTTTTCCCTCATAATTTACTATGGAATCACTAACAGGAGAATTTTACTGTCATCATGTCATGTGTTTTTAAAGACGAATTACATGCTATGAATTTTTTCTGACGGATATTCTCAAGTTAAAGTTGTTTTCATGTAATCGAATGAACTATCTTATACGTAAAGTCGTCCCAGGAGCGCAACTCAACAATATTGGCAATATCATTTTAAAGTCGTCTACTTTAAAATGCATAATGTATGTCTGAATTGTCAATATAAATGAGTCAGATAAAATTAAATTATTAGAAGAATTTTTCACTATGTAACAAAAAACAAAATTTGTTTAATTTACTGTTTGTATTTTGAGAACGATTTCCGAAGTGGAAATTGAAACGTCAATAAACGTATTTTTATCTTTAATTGTGGCTTATTCCCAGTTTAATAGTAATTAATTTACAATGCCACAAGAAAATAGCTTCAGAACAATACTTTAATGTGATTATTACGCATCCAACATTTTTCTATCTTTTCACGTTTGAGCACACGTTTTTCCCAAACTGCAGGAGTACTTAGCAGTACTCAATGCTTCTTGCCATGTTTCCAAAACTGGCACTCAGGGAATCTCCCTGTCTTATCCCATTGCCAGCTTCAATACGATCAGTTAGTTGCTCTTCTGCTAGTGTTATAATTTCATTCAGTTTATTTGTTGACATTTTGGTTGTTAATTTTAGTATTTAAGCAGTAGTTTAGTGTTTTAGTAATTAATTCCTCTGTAATTTTCCGGGTCCGATTTGTCTCCCTTTTTGAAGAGGATGAGTTTGAACGTTCGTTCAAACAATACTGTTCAGTCGAGCAGTAAACCGAAGATTAGGATGCTTGATCTCCATTCTTGAGGAATTTTCAAAATATTTGGTTTGAACTGTTGTTGGCAGCATTTGATAGCGATATTAAATAGGTATTTTTTTAAAAAATTTCATAAAACGGAATCAGTAGCTGATAAAAAAAGGGAGTGTGAAAAACGGTTTAGCGCTGAAACGGCAGAAGTAGTAATTTTAGGTCATGTTAACTTGGAATCTACTTCAAATACTAAAAAAATAGCTGAAGAATATGTTTTTTGTGCACGAAAATTATACCAGGTACTTAAAAGATGTTTCAGGTACTTGAAAAGTTCCATCTTTTTGTGAATGCCAGTGTCAAAATACTTTACAACGCTATGAATAAGTTATGACTTCCAAAAAATCGGTTTAATCACAATTACACTAATCAGTATAAACGTTTGAAGTAAAACTTTGCTTTATCGTTCTTTTTATCACAATTTCAGCCGGCCTTACCATCATATCCACCACCATGGCCATCGATCCAAGTTCCGAAAATACTCCTTGCCAACAGACACGAAACATCTCCACAAAGGGCATTCCGAATCTTTGTTAAATAAGCCGTTAAGAGTATCTACTCAACCAGAGGATCAAGATTTACCACCGAATGATAAGGATCAGTTAGACAGTCACAGGTAAATAATTGAGTTAATTATTATTTATAGATTATTTTTTAATCATTTATTGTTTGTATCTATAGTTTATTTTTATGAACGAGAGAGTAATTAGCATAATTTTAACTGGTACCTTCGACCACTCCATGGGCGTGCTCAAGATTAATTGAAAAATTACTTTGAATAATTGTAAAAAATAAATGAATTATTTCAGTGTTATAAAGTGTTATGTGTATGTAAACAAAAGTGACCTCTTTTATCACACACTATATTAGAACTGACTGGCCCACATTAAAAAGGGTTTTAAAAAATTCACATTTTTTTTTATTTTTAAAAATTACAAAAGAGAAAAAGAGTTTTTAAAACCGTCTAAGGTATGTTAAATAGATGAATAAAAATATTAATATAAAACTTACAGCTACTTGTTACAAATCCAAATCAGATTCAGAAGATGAACTTTCAGAACCAAGATTTATAATAACTGGCTCGATCATTTTATCAGTAATATTGTCCAGCTTCCACATTTTTTCCTCTTCTTTAATAGTGTGATTTACTGCCTTTTCCCAGTTTTCAGGTTTTACATTATTTACGGCCTTCAAAACAACTGTTTAACATCATGAATTTTAAAAGTGGTATTTTTTCTTGAAACTTCACTCTTTATCTGTGCCCATACCAGTTCAATCGGGTTTAATTCACAATGATATGGTGGGGATCTAAGTACTGTCATTCCACGATTTTTGGCAATTTCATCAATTTCGTATTTTTAAAATTTTTCTTTATGAAGAGCACACAACGAATAAAGTTCCTTTCTTATAGATCCGGGATGGTACGTAATATTTTTTGAACTCAGCCAATTCTGCAAGTCTTTTTTAACCACTTGGTTGTGGGCAGTCCTTCTATAAGTCTGGAGTGATAACTTGCATTATCCATTACTATTACACAGTTTTTAGGAAGAAGATCTATCATTTGTTCGAACCATTCTTGAAAGACATCAGCGTTCATGTCTTCATGGTAGTCACCGGTACGAGTTGATTCAAAAGTTAATAAACCACCTTCAACAAAACCGTCTGAACTGCCAATGTGTACTATTATCAGCCTGTGTCCCTTTCCTGATGGTGGGTTTAAACCAGTAGATAAGTTATTTACAAATGCGTGCCTGTGGAATAAGTTTAGAAGGTAATTATCTAGTCAATTACTGTCGTAGATTCCTGGAATTAAAGAATTAAATGTTTGATTGTTGAAACCCATACTTCGTTGAATGCACTCATTTCAGATAAAATAAAACGTTTTATTTTATCTAAAGAATTAAACTTTATTTTGCAAATAGGTAGGTACTTATTAAACTTTTATTGGTTATATATAACCAATAAAATAAACATCTTACATTTCTTGCAAATTCATTAGTACCTGTTAACCTCCATCACTCCGACACTGGCAACCTTATTTAGGGATTAGTAACCCTCACAACTATTGTATTCTATTCTGCTCCAACCTTTATACCTGGTGGTCATACTCAATTTAAAATTGTTTTCCTATATACTTCTGTAAACTTGTTGACAACTATCTGTTTTTCATTGAGTCACCCGTATCAACAGTTTAGGGATTTGCATACATAATTTATTGTTTTATTACTCTCTCATACATAAAAATACACTATAATTTAGACCTAACTTAAGTTACTTGTTTAGGTATATATAGTTTTCGGAAAGACGATGAGAATTTAATAGTCGTAGACGTTTCGACACCCATTTTGGAGCCATTATCAAGAGGGATACGGTTCCGTTCGAGTTCGGGGTCTAAATCTGCGTACTCCCCTCACTGGTGACATACCAGTATCGTATTCTGTAAAAATACAAGAACCATCAAACGGTACTGAGGTCTGAATCTGCCTACTCCTTAGTGTCGAGTGATGTCCAGTCGTCAGAGAGTTGACCCGTAAAAATCATACGAACAAGCTGAATTTTTCCGAGAATATTAATTTGGGGACCCTAAAAAAGATGCAAAAATGTTTAATACTTTTACCCCCGGGTTTCTCCCTAAAACCTCCTAAAAAGCCCGGGAGTAAAAGTGGTCAACTTTTTTGCATCTTTTTTGGGGTCCCCAAATTAATATTCTCGTCAAAATTCAGCTTGTTTGTATGATTTTTAGAGATTCAGTGGCATTTTCGTCTGACGACTGAAGTAATAGTACTTCATACAAATGTTGTCTAGAATTTTATGCAAAATCTAAAAATGCAATAATAAACAGAGTGTTCTATTTTAAATATCAATGCTGCAATATTGATGCTCACTTCCGGTATAAATGGAAATGACATGTCTGTCAAATATTTTCTGTAAGTTCGTCAGAACTTGTAGTCCCTATAAAGCAATTTTCATAATAGTCCAGGCTGTGAGGCCGCTCCCGTTGGGAAAATGTTTCTGATTCGGTTTCTTCGCGGATTCCGGTTCAAAAATGTCCCCTTTAAACAAATCTGAAGGGTGCCGGGCGAAATTTTTGGGCATAAATTGTTTAAACAATTTTTTTTAACAAATTCCAAAAATATTTTTTTTTTAATCTGGAAAACGTTTTTTAGGTTTTTCGGGTCATTCTAAATAAAAAAGGTCTCTTGTCATTTTTCTCTAAAGTTGATAGTTTTCGAGTTATAAGCGATTTAAAGCCTGAAAAACGCGAAAATACGCATTTTTGAGGCTTGAAAACACATATGTAAATTATTATTTTTGAGGTTACCAAGTGTCTAAATTGAAGTTTAAACATTCAACTTCAAGATTGTGAAGAGTAATCGTGGCTTATTTTAATTTAGACCGTTATTTTTTAATTGTTAAATATGCGCGTACACTCGATTTTTCAGCCGCCGCGGCGCGGCGCGCTAGAGAGCGCTTCTATCGTACTTGCATATTTTACATATACACTTACGCAAAAAAACCCGAACAAATCCTTGAAGTTTATTAACATAGTTTTTTCCATAATTTATATGCAAAAATGCAAGTTTTTACCTGTTTAACAATCGCGCGCTCATACTTGATTTGTTATTACTTAAACGATCATTAGGAAGACTATTGTTTAATGCCCATTAAATGGGTATTATATTATTAATGTGTTATTAAAAAAATTGTGAATGGATTTAAAATGTCTTTTTCCGTACCTCTTCTTAAATGAAAACTTACCGAAGACAATTTAGTTTGTATTTTTTGTAATAACATCAACAATATTAAGTTAGTGCAAAAACCTAAAGTAGATTTTTACATAACAATACAAAATGCTGCTCTTCGACGAAAACACAGTGTGACTGAAAAATTTAATTTAATCTAGCCAATATACCTTGTACCTCTGACGCACTTTACCAACACTTGTTAAGAGCTTTCGCTAAAACATATATTTGGCGAAATGCCATATATTCCCGCTATCAAACTCTCGATTTTACACAATATGGATATTATATGTCTGATAGTGATGGGTTGGGAAACCGTGCAAATGCAAAAAGACTTGCAAAACTAATGCTTGCAACTGCAAGAAAAATCATGTCAACTGTGTACCATTATGTGGATGTGATTTAGATTTTTGTGAAAACAAAGATACTTTTACTGAGTGATATTAGTGTGTTATTTAACAATCTTTTGTACAATTATTTTATGTAACTATTATTAGACTTTAGACGAAATTTATATTATAACTCAATTGATATAAATAAATATATACTCAATAAATAATAATTATTTGTAAGTATATGTAAACTATGCATAAGTACGATAGAAGCGCACTCTAGCGCGAGGCGCCGCGGCGGCTGAAAAATCGAGTGTACGCGCATACTTAACAATTAAAAAACAACGGTCTAAATTAAAATAAGCCCCGATTACTCTTCACAATCTTGAAGTTGAATGTTTAAACTTTAATTTAGAAACTTGGTAACCTCAAAAATAATAATTTACATATGTGTTTTCAAGCCTCAAAAATGCGTATTTTCGCGACTTTTTTGTTTAAAATGGCCCAAAAAACCAAAAAAAACGTTTTCCAGATTAAAAAAAAAATTATTTTTTGACTTTGTTTAAAAAAATTGTTTAAACAATTTCTGCCCAAAAATTTCGCCCGGCACCCTTCAGATTTGTTTAAAGGGGACATTTTTGAACCGGAATCCGCGAAGAAACCGAATCAGAAACATTTTCCCAACGGGAGCGGCCTCACAGCCTGGACTATAAATATCGTGTGAGTAGTTTGCGATATATAGATAGTGTAAGTTCGTCATGAAACACCCTGTATATACATATATACATATATACTTTATAAAAAGATAAACAGTACACGAGTACAGATCGTACAATTCAATTACTCGTCACGGAAATTTAGAACGGAATTTTTCGATTCCGTAAAAAAAGAGTTATCATCTTTAACTAATTGACTTATGTCACATATTTTACTAGCTACGGAAGCTAGAATCTAAATGTCATTGTTTTGAAGCAACCATATCGGTAAAACGTTTGATATTTTGTCCATTCCGTTGCATTAACCAGGGGAATGACATTAGTTTGATTTGTTTACACATTTCTCAATCCTAAAATTTACATTGACATGGCAAGTGGATGTAGAACAAATGTTTGATAAGGTAATATTTTTGTACTTTATTAAAATCAAAAAGGAATTCTTTTTGATTTAGAATTTTACATCCGCTATTTCTCACGTAATATTCTCCATTTACCTGTTGATCCTTCAGATTATTCCTTATGTTTTACTAATTTTTTCTTCGTTATCACTCATTTTTTCTATCTATCTAGTCAGATCCTTACTCAGTCACTAAATGTTTCTGTTTTATTTCTTATTCTGCGGAATGTTTCTATTTCTGCTGCTTCTAGTGCTCCTCGGCTATTATGTTTCCTGTCTGGTCTGGTCTCACTAGTGTAGTACACTTCCAACCTATCACCACTTTATATATTATAGTTTTTTATTTCTGTTTCATTTCTGCTTCTTGTTTTATCTGTTCTCCTATTTTGTAGTTGCTGGATAATTTTATTTCTAGATGCCCATCTCCATAACTTGTTCTGGTTCCAATTAAAAATTTGCATCCAATGCAACCTTTTGAAATATCCATAGCTTTGTTTTTTCTATTCAAATTATGGCGTTTTACTGAAGATCGGTAGTTTGAACAAGTACAGAATTCCCAGGAGATTATTCTCACATTTTTCAAGGATATATAGCGACTTTTTTCAACTGACTATGGTTCCAGTCCCCTTCGGAGAGTCCTCTGCGTTTCACTTCGGTCTAGATGTTTGAAATACATCTTTTTCTTGGCCTCCATCGTTTATTTCTTGGAAATGGTGCCCACTATTATAAAGTGCTGCAAAATCTCAAAATTCTCTAAATTCTTCAGGGTTTAAAGAATAACTTTTTGTTAGAGTGGGAATCTTCTTCCATCTTGTTTCCGAATTCTTCTCAACTTTTCCATTTCGCTGCTAGTACCATATCTTTGACTTTGATTCTTTGCAGCTTACATATTTGGTAGTTGTCTGCATTTCCGTTCCTTAAATAATTTTTCCAAGCTATCTTCTTGGACTTCACTTCTGCTTTTATTTCATTGTTCCACCAGTTTTCACACTTTTTGCTTCTGTTATTTCTTGTTATTCCGCATGCTTGTTTACCACCATTTAGAAGTGCTTCTTTCAGTATTTGCCAGGTTTGGTCTAAGTCACAGTCATGTTCAGCGTGCTCTGTTAGGTAGTTTTTAACGTAGTTTTCAAACTTGTTTGCTGTCTCCTTGTCCGCTAGCTTCTGTGAACTGATTACTTCTATAGTGGGTGTATCATGAGCTTTACTTATTTTCTTGGTCTCTTTCGTTATTGATTCTTGTCGCACTTCCAAGCTGGTCCTGGCTACAACTAGGTAGTTGTCACTGTATATTTCAGTTCCTCGTTTTACTCTTTAATGCATTGCCTCGATGATACTAACACAGTCTGGATGATGGATCTTTCGCCTCTACTTTTGAATTCTCTTGTATATTTATGTTATATATCTTTGTGTTTAAAAAATGTGTTCATTATTATTCAATTATTTTCTCTGCATATATCAATAATACGTTCCCCATTGTCATTTTTTATATCTTCTCCATATGGTCCTAATACATCTTGGGTATGTTCATCTCTTACACCCACTCGACCATTTAGATCCCCTAGTACTATAGTATTGCCTTCTAGACTGTCTATTATTTCTGAGGCCTTATCCCAGAATACGTCTTTGCTAGCTGCTCTTTCGTCATCATTTATTCCATACATAACGATGATATTGACTACTTTGTGTTCCGCAGTCACCAGTCTTATCTTCAGAATTCTTTCTGAACTGCATTCCCAATCTTGAATATTCTTTATTAGGTTACTGTGTATCAGGCAGCCTACCTCTTCTTTTGCCCTTTCGCCAAGTGACACTCCACTGGTGATGAAGAAGTGTCCATTTTGTGAAAACTGTGTGTTTTTTCCCTTCTTTTTGGTCTCTGTTATACCCAGTCAAGTCTATTTGATTTTTCTCAAATTCTTCAGCAGGTTCGACTTCTTTGCCGTTGAGACCTCTGACATTCCATGTTGGTAATGTCCATCCTTTGGGCTTTAGTACTGCTTCGTTATTGTGGGTCGTGTTATTAAGCTCTTTCTTGTTTAATGTTGGTTTTACATAGTTACTGTTTATATTCTCGCTCGTTGCTGACTGCATTTTTATGGGTTTACTCTTTCTTGTCTCTCGTTGCTCACATCCTTGGTCATTATTTATGGATTTATCTTTGTCATTACTACATATTATATAACTAATCATATCCCTTGGCATTGCCTGGTTTGTCATAGTATTTCCGGCACATTTATTTTCTAGTTTTTTGTCCCCATTTTGACTAGTTTGTTCTCTTTGTTGTCCCATTTCCAGCTGACCTTGTTGATCCATATTTAATTTCCATCATGTCTTACATCCTTTTCTCTCTCCTTTTCTTCTTGTGCAAGTTTTCTAATTGTTTTCTGAATTTCTTTTTCTTTATTCGTAGTATCATCATTGATGTATACTTTTCCTTCTTCAGCATGTTTTAGTTTAGATTTATTTTTCATAACCTTTACCTTTTCTTCAAGTTTGATTTTCAACTTTATCAACAATTTTAATATCTCTATATATTGCTTTCACGCACTCGCATGATGGTTTATAGTGACTGTAGTGATGCTACAACTCATAATACAGGGTAAGATCAACGGAAGGAGAGGCCCAGGCCGACGAAGAACATCCTGGTTACGAAATCTCTGAGAATAGTATCAAGAAACCACCTTTAATTTATTTAGAGCCGCCGTGAATAAGGTTATTATTGCCAATATGATCGCCAACGTTCGATAATCGGACAGGGAACTGAAAGAAGAAGAAGTAGTGATACTGGGGAAAAAGTCTTCCACCAGTCGGCATCGAACAAACTTTATTCCATCACTTTCAAAGATCGAGACTCTGGTTTTATCACTCCAAATTATTTTACTCCACTATTCTTTTCGTCAGTCTCTTTGTGTTAAAGTCCAATTAATGCGTCTTTGTCTCTGATTTTTGTTCAGGAACGGCTTTGTTGTAGGGGTTCTTGCTCGCAATCCATTTTCGCATAACTTTCTTTCTGATAGTGCTGTCCAATGTTTGCAAGTAAGTTGATTTGCCAATAATATTAATGTCTTTTGAATCTACATAGGGGTTTTTTGCTCGCAATTCATTTTCACAGAACTTTCTTTTGATAGTGCTTTCCGATGTTTTAGTATTAATGTCTTTTGGGGATCTGCGACGATCTTCTGCAGGCGATATCTTCTGCGTCCATCATATTGACTAACTTACTGTGTTCCGCAGTTACCAGTCTTATCTTCAGAATTCTTTCTGAACTGCATTCCCAATCTTGAATATTCTTTATTAGGTTAGTGTGTATCAGGCAGCCTACCCCTTCTTTTGCCCTTTCGCCAAGTGACACTCTACTGGTGATGAAGAAATGTCCATTTTCTAAAAACTGTGTTTTTTTCCCTTCTTTTTGGTCTCTATTATACCCACTAAGTCTATTTGATTTTTCTCAAATTCTTCAGCAAGTTCGACTTTTTTGCCGTTGAGACCTCTGACATTCCATGTTGGTAATGTCCATCCATGGACGTATAAACTGTCCATCCTTTGGGCTTTAGTATTGCTCCGTTATTGTGGGTCGTGTTATTAAGCTCTTTCTTGTTTAATATTGGTTTTACATAGTTACTGTTTATATTCTCGCTCGTTGCTGACTGCATTTTTATGGGTTTATGGGTCTTGTCTCTCGTTGCTCACATCCTTGGTCATTATTTATGGATTTATCTTTGTCATTACTACATATTATATAACTACCCATGTCCCTTGGCATTGCCTGGTTTGTCATAGTATTTCCGGCACATTTATTTCCTAGTTTTTTGTCCCCATTTTGACTAGTTTGTTCTCTTTGTTGTTCCATTTCCAGCCGACCTTGTTGATCCATATTTAATTTTCACCAAGTCTTACATCCTTTTCTCTCTCCTTTTCTTCTTGTGCAAGTTTTCTAATTGTTTTCTGAATTTCTTTCTCTTTATTCATAGTATCATCATTGATGTATACTTTTCCTTCTTCAACATGTCTTAGTTTAGATTTATTTTTCATAACCTTTACCTTTTCTTCAAGTTTGATTTTCAACTTTATCAACCATTTTAATATCTCTATATATTGCTTTCACGCACTCGCATGGTGGTTTATAGTGACTGTAGTGATACTGGGGAAAAAGTCTTCCACCGGTCGGCATCGAACAAACTTTATTCCATCACTTCCAAAGATCGAGACTCTGGTTTTATCACTCCAAATTATTTTACTCCACTGTTCTTTTCGTCAGTCTCTTTGTATTAAAGTCCAATTAATGCGTCTTTGTCCCTGATTTTTGTTCAGGAACGGCTTTGTTGTAGGGGTTCTTGCTCGCAATCCATTTTCACATAACTTTCTTTCTGATAGTGCTGTCCAATGTTTGCAAGTAAATTGATTTGCCAATAATATTAATGTCTTTTGAATCTACATAGGGGTTTTTGCTCGCAATCCATTTTCACAGAACTTTCTTTTGATAGTGCTTTCCGATGTTTTAGTATTAATGTCTTTTGGGGATCTGCGACAATCTTCTGCAGGCGACATCTTCTCCGCCCATCATATTGGCTAACCTACAGTTTTATGCCTGTTCTTTTTGCTGATTTTGTCGTTCCAGTGTTATGATAACGTTTACAAACTTTCATTACACCTGATTTTGTGACGCCACCACACAATTTATTTGCTGATTGAGGTGTAATTTCTTGATATGTGTAACCTTTTTTCGAAAGATACTTGCTTTGGCTCTTTCCTGGCGACCAGTCAACAAGTTTTGGGGTTTTGGGAGCAATTTTTGCAACTTAGTAACAAATACCCAAAGTCACTATTAAACACTGGAAGTTCCATGAAACCGTACTCAATGCTTCCAATTAGACGACTAAATCACGCCACTCGTCGGTGGCTTAATTTACATAATATGACGGTCATTTAGCTATTTTTCTAATAATATTGATCTGATATTCCATGTTGCTACTCGTAGTATGTTTCTCGTTTTCTATTTCTTTGCCTTTTATCGACCATGGTTATTTCCATCTTGTTCCGACGAATTTTTACCTGTTCTTTGACCATTGTAAGTTTTTTAAAGGTAATTAGATTGCTAGCCTTTATCAATTCTTCTTTATCTGCGAGTAGTACTGGTAATGGTATCTGATCGATCATCAGAAACTATTCGACCTCCAGATATCGACTTCGAACACCACAGTGATAGGCAGAAAGAAATATTTGTTATCTTACACGTAAAAACTACTTTTTTTTTAGAAAAATTGATATTTTTTTTTAAATATAGTCTACTGAAAGATATATTTTACAAAATTATGTTTTTCTGTTTTTTTCAGATCTGATGATCCTCGAGCTCTCAGAAGACCCAAAGCCGACAGAGGGACCCTTATGCATGTTGGAAAGGGATCTGAACTACACTCATGTTTTAAGAAACTATACGATCACAGCCCACATGCGGTAAGCTAATTATTGAAATTGTAAAAAAGCAGTCATAAAGCGACACTATTACTTAGGATTTTCACTATATTTCTTCTCCAAACCATCCAGTCTAGTCTTTTATATCTTGAAAATCTCTATTTTGAAGGTTTTTTTTCCATTACCTTATTTTCTTCACTTTCCATTGATCTTCAAGGTCTTTACTTCTTTTTCCTATCATACTGCTTATATGCATTCTTTTTATAAAAAAAGGTCGCAAATTAGGGTAGCCAGCTGTTAAAAACGTGAGGTATCAAAGATAACGTAAAACAGAGCTAGTGCACAACGCAACTGGTTTGTTAAGACTAAGGTCAGTTGTGTTAGCTTCAGTGTTAATGTATATACATTATCACTTGTCTATTTTACTTTATCTTTGATACCTCGCGTTCTAAGAGCTGGCAACCCTAAATTGCGAACATTTTTCTCAGGCAACCTTAATTTATCATCATGTTAAAAAAAATTAGCTTTATTTGATATAAAAAAAAACTATCATATACGTCATGAGCAACGTATTTTATTTAAAAAATAAATGGACGAAAATGTGTCCAGCCCATCTAAGTCTCTGCGCTTTAACGAATTTCACAATATCTGGATCGGTGTATAAGTGATATATATAGTTCAAAGTTGTATCTTCGACGCTATAGCCCATTTTCATTTACGGTCCCAAAAATCTCTCTAAAAATTTTTCTCTCAAAAATACCAAGAACTCTTTCATCATTTTGAGATAAGGTCCAGTTCTGTTTGCTATTGCTATGCGTCTTTTTATTTCGACGCTTGTAGTGTTTGTTACGTTTACTAGGGATCCAAGATATGTGACTTCTTTGGCTTGCTCAAAGGTATGATTGTCAGTTTGATTTTTCTGTTGGAGATTTCGGGAGTTTTGAGAAACGAATATATATTTGGTTTTTTCCTCGTTCACCATAAGTCCTAATTAAATTTTTGCGTCCGCAAGCCTTGTAAAACACTGGGATCGATTTTAGGATGACATTTGACACTTCTTCTCTTGTTGGGCCACACTGTGTAGTTGACGTTGTAGACTTTGTTGATTATCTATGTTGTAACTTCCTTCAATATCGTTTATATTTAGATGTTCGCTGTGACTTAGATCATAGACTATAAACTTTATTTGGTGTTCAGTGTAATAAATCACAGTAAAGTAGCAATTCCCTGTACGCATAATTTATTATAATATTAATTTTTTATGACCAATTGCATTATGCAAGAAAATAGTATCGGAGTTAAATAAACTATAATATCTATTAATATCGTGTTCACGTTTCAAATTTTTATTGACTAAGATAATTCCTTCTAGATATTCGTCGAGTTAGCCGAATATTCCCAAGGAGAATGCGCCGAAGAAAGAGAATGGAAGCAAACAGCTCGTTGGATCAAGTATGAAGAGGATGTAGAGGAAGGTGTTGACAGATGGGGAAAGCCCCATGTAGCCTCGCTAAGTTTTCACTCGTTGCTCAATTTAAGAAGGTGTTTGGAAGATGGTTTAGTTCGGTTGGATATGGAAGAAAGAGATTTACCGGGGATTGCTTACAGGTAATGTATTCAACTAGTATTCAGTTAACTTCTTCTTTTTTTTTGGTGCCTATTCGTTTCGAATATTGGCGATAATTCTGACTATAATTATTTTATCAACGGATACTTTAAATAGATTTATTGTTTATGTGGAGAACAATTTCCTCAGGTTCTTTAACCATGATATTTTTCTTCTACCAATTGCTGGCTTTCCGAATACTTTGCCTTTAAGTTTTATTTTCAGTAATATGTATTTAGTGCCGTTTCTCATTATGTGTCCGAGATATTCGAACTTTCTCCTTTTAATTATATACTCCACTTCTCTTTCTTTCCACATTCTTCGTAGTAAAGTCTCGTTGGTTATCTTGTCCGTCCATGATATCCTTAGGATTCTTCTGTATAGCTACATCTCTAAGGCCTTAAGTTTCTAAGTTTTTTCTCCATAGCTTCAGTGAGTGTCCAGGAATCAACTCCGTAATAAATGTAATATGGAGAAGATATAACATCGTAGGAGCCTTACTTTTATCTCCAGATTAAGGTTGTGGCTTTTAAAGAGTTTGGCCATGTTGTTGAATGCACTCCTAGCCTTCTCTATTCTACATTTTACTTGTGAGTGATCTTACCCATTGTTACAGTGTCGAGGGAGAAATTTCCACACACATTCTTGTATCATTTTGTTAAAAATAAAATGGAATTAGTTGGATGAAATGTAGTTAGGGCATTTGCTCACAGCAAAATAGTCGTTGGTCTAGTTCCTTTTTTTCAAATTATAAAAAACTATCCTTTACACATCAGTTTCTTATAAATAATTACAATAGAGGTCTCTGCTTGTTATTTATGTAGGTATTGGTATTTATGTTATTTTATTTATATATGTTAATCTTACTTATAGAATATCAGAAGATTTATACAAGGAAGATTTGATAAAAGAAGAGGATAAAGCCAGAATCATGAGAACTATTCTACTTCGTCACAGGCACGTCAACGAACATCAAAGTTCAGGATTCAGGTTCGCCAGGAAACACAGTTACACCTCATTACAAGTAAGTAATTTTCTCTGTCTCCAAATATACTCTTTTCTTCAAACAACTACATTAATAAAATTATTTATAACAACAAAAGACACGATATTGACTAGTCTGGTTTTCTTATGGGAACTAATTTAATGCCGAAAAAACTTTTTCTTATCAATCAAAAACTATTGTTACGAGTATCATACAAACATTAAAGAAGCACTTTGGCGAAAGGCTCTCAGAGAAGAAAAATAGCAGATAATAACTTATTTCAATCAAAATAAGGTTGAATGTTCGAATAAATGAACTTTGATGGTACACAAGGCAAATATCGAACACAGTATTTAATCAAATCTTGCGCAAGTACTTTCGATCACAAGATCATCTTCAGGGGCATTTCGTCAGTTGTGGCCTATCCAGCAGTAACAGAATGTCATAAATGTAAATTGGGACATAACAAATACACTAAACAAAGACAAACAAACACTTTAAAATTTAAAATTGGAGAAGCTACATTTTATATAGAATATATTCTGTCTCCGGCTTCTATATAAAATGTAGCTTCTCCAATTTTAAATTTTAAAGTGTTTGTTTGTCTTTGTTTAGTGTATTTGTTATGTCCCAATTTACATTTATGACATTCTGTTACTGCTGGATAGGCCACAACTGACGAAATGCCCCTGAAGATGATCTTGTGATCGAAAGTACTTGGGCAAGATTTGATTAAATATTGTGTTCGATATTTGCCTTGTGTACCATCAAAGTTTAATAACTTATTTGTTTGCAACTGGCAGCATACAAGCCTTTCATCAGCCAGTAAGGGTGATCAAAATAATAAACATGATAATATTGATTGCTGTGGATGTGTATGTATTTTATTAATTTCCAAAGATTCTGTATGGCACACAACTACAAAACAATATAAAACCTAGGCTATACTGTATACTAGACATGAAAATAATGGACCAGCCTTATAACATTAGAAAAATACTGATTAATTGGTAAATAGTACACTTCCATTTCTTAATTCCTCGTCTGAATCATATTCGTTATTGTTTTTTATAAGAATAATTATGAATATAAAAACTGTTTTACTATTATAATCAACAGCTTCCAGTCTCTCTTCTTTTTTTAACCTGATTTACAGCATTGATCGAATTCTTTTCCTTCAAGTTTTTTAAAACGTAAAATGAGTTTTGTTTCTAGGGTGTGGTCATGGCTCATAAACACAGAGCTCATAGTCAAGAATGTACCTTTTGCCTTTCCGTTGAGATATTTAATCTCTTGGGTATTGTCGCACGACTCTTGGATATTGGGATATATATCAGAAGGTCTGATTATTATGAATTTGTTGCTTTTTTATGTAAAAACCTTTCATTCATTTGGTTAAGCTATAAGAGAAGTGCATTAAATTGGACTCAAAATTAACCTCAAATATATCAAAAAAAGATTTAAATATAATGACAACGAAATAATACAAGAAAAAAGTAAATATAAGTACCTGCGAATCTACAATGATAAAAAAAATATATGCATATATTACATATAATATAATAAAATAAAGTGGAAGGAAGAGTTTGACCTAGCAAATCCTGTAGAAACGATGTAGACGAAACAATGACAAGAAGAGGTATGACAGGAGAAATGAAACAGAATATAAGATGTTGGGCGAGAGAATGTGGTGAAAACTCTAATATTCATACATATACAGCGTGGTGAATTGTCAAATAGGCCATAGGAAACTCTTTTTTTTCTCTCAAATAGGAAATGGGAAACTCAATGGGAAAGTTACTGGCACTGGCTCATCTAATGGGTAACTCAAAACTGTTTTCTTGCGTTTTCCTTGCTTTGAAATTTGTTTTCTCTATAGTTGTAGCAACCTCCTCCTCCTCCAATAAAGCTTTTTTTTCCTTTTTCTTTAAGGTCTTCATAGTTGCAGGTTGGTGTGCTTCTTAAAGACAAGCAAACCTTTGCAACTTGCTCAATTTGAGGATGGCCTTTTGTGTTTCACCTTTGACCATTGTATTACTGATTCATTTCTGGATCTGGCTTCTATTAAAGTACTTACCATTCTCTGGGTTTTTCATTCTATCTGGTGATTCCAAGTAGATAAATCTCGAGTCTAGTATCACTCCAAGGTACTTTACTTCAAGTGCCAGATTTTGATCTGTACCATTAAGGTTTAGATAACCTAATCCCTCTAAATCATGATTTTGGATTTCAGAAATCTTATATTAAGCTCTTATATTAAGCTTTTTCAAAAAAAGTCCCCAAAGAAAGTGGACCTGGGCAAGTCCAGATGGAGTCACCAAAAATGAAATTGATTTTGTCTTAACCAACAACAAAGACATGATCCATGATGTAACAGTTCTTAATAGCTGTTCAGTGGGAAGTGATCATAGAATGGTAAGAGCGAAGATCGTGCTAAATCTCCAAAAACAAAGATACAAAATGATAACAAAAACACACCCAATACAATGGAATCCAATCGAAAACACCACGTCCTTCGAAGAGGAAATTCTGAGATGTCTAGAGACAACAAATATAGAAGTTATGGATATCGAAACCTTAAATGATAACTTAATAAAAGCTATTAAGAACGCAGAGAAAAAGTGCAATACAAATTCTAGGAGAGATAAGGAGGAAAAGCTCAGTCAAGAAACAAAAAGACTTATGGAGGCACGAAGAGAACTTAAGAACAAAAACGATACGAATGCACGCGTACTACAACAACTTAATAAAGATATTAATAAAGCAGTAAGAAAGGACGTACGACAATATAACACAAAAAAGATTACAACGGTTGTCGAGAAAAATAAAAGTTTAAAGGTGCTGAAGAGATGTCAAGCTCTAGGTAAGAAGAACATTGTTAAGCTCGCAGATCGAAATGGAAAAGTGGTAACAGATAAAGATAAGATAATTAAGGTAGTTGAAGAATTTTACACAGAATTATATAGAGAAAGGGGGAAGAAAGACGGCACCAAGTTGAGAAAAGTCCAGAATGTGGGTTCAGAGGATATCCCAGAAATAACAACCGAAGAAGTTTTAAAGTCATTAAATAGAATGAAAAACAATAAAGCAGCTGGTGATGATCAAATCGTTATTGAGGCAGTTAAAGCAGGAGGAAAGACAGTATTGAAAGCATTGACGCAATTATATAACTTATGCCTTTCAAACGAGGTTACACCATCTCAGTGGAATAAAGCTGTTATAGTAGTCATGCACAAAAAGGGAGATATAACAGAGCTAAAGAACTATAGACCTATTAGCTTGTTATCTCACGTTTATAAGTTGTTTATGAAGATAATAACTAATAGGTTGACATCAAAACTAGACTTCTATCAACCTTGCGAGCAAGCAGGATTTAGAGCTGGATACGGAACAAATGATCATTTGCAAACCATTAAGTCGTTGATTGAAAAAACCATTGAATTTAATAGACCCCTGATACTTATCTTTGTCGACTTTGAAAAAGCATTTGATACGGTCAATCAAAGTGAAATGCTCCAAGCTCTAACACAATGTAGAATAGATCACCGATACATATCTCTCATCAGATACATCTATCAACATGCTACAGCCTGTGTAAGACTTAATGAAGATACTGGGACTTTTCGTATTGAAAGAGGCGTTCGGCAAGGAGACAACATGTCTCCTAAATTATTTACAACTTTGCTAGAATACGCTTGTAAAACAATAGATTGGAACGAAAAGGGCATCAATGTAGATGGAAAATTTTTAAATAACCTTAAATTTGCAGATGATATCGTTCTTATTGCAGACAGCTTTGATCAGGCACAGATAATGCTCCAAGAACTCCATACTGCCACAAAAAGAGTTGGTCTTAAAATAAATTTTTCAAAAACACAATTTATGACAAATTTAGTCCACAACAAAAACATCTCAGTAGAAGACAAAGATATTGAGCCAGTTGACTCCTATAAATACTTAGGCCATGAGATCAGAATAAGTCGAGACAACCAAACAATCGAGCTGAAAAGAAGAATAAACCTCGCTTGGGCTGCATTTGGAAGGATGAAGGATATTTTTAGGTCTAAGATTCCAATGTGTCTGAAAAGAAAAGTATTTAATCAATGTATTTTGCCAGTGATGACCTACGGCGCAGAAACCCTAACGCTCACAAGAACAACAGTGAGTAAACTACAAGTTGCGGAAAGAGCAATGGAGAGAATTATGTTAGGGATTTCTCTACGTGATAGAATACCCAATGCTACTATACGCAAAAGATCAGGAGTAGCAGACGTTATTGAAAGGATAACAACACTAAAGTGGAACTGGGCAGGTCATGTAGCAAGATCAGTTGATGACCGGTGGACAAAAAGAATTTTGGAATGGAGACCCCGAATACAAGCATACAGAAATAGAGGTCGACCCCAACGAGATGGACAGATGACATAAAAAGAGTGACTACAAATTGGATTCAGATGGCGCAAAATCGGACTAAGTGGAAGAGCATGCGAGAGGCCTATGTTCAGCGGTGGACGTTAGAGGCTAGTTGATGATGATGATGATATTAAGCTCTACATTTGAAGTCAATTCTATGACTGCAATCAGAACCTATTGCATTCTATCTACAGGTCAGGGCATGATGTTTGTCATTGATGAATCTAATTATCAACCTATCGATGACAATATTTCGCAATAGAGGAGATAAGCCTTCTCATGCAAACAGCATGTACCTGTATTGCCATTGTATATCCCAGTAATTTTGCATATATTATACGGCTCATCTATTCCTTTCAGTGAAAATTTGTAATTGTCCATAGGAGGAGTTTCTTCTTAAGAAACCTCCCTCTAAAATGAAATTCAATGCTCACTCTATTCTGGGAATTATAGGTTGGATAATTAATAAGATGCCGAAGAACTCCTCTGTCACTCAACATTGTGGAGTAGGCAAATTGAAACCTCAGTGCCGTTTCACGGTTCTCGCATTTTTACAGAACAAGATGCTGGTACTTCACGAGTGAAGGGAGTAGGCAGATTGAAACCCCGAATTCGAACGGAACTAT